GGTGTACTTGATTCATTTGACTTCCAGTCATATGATGTATGTAAATCTTGTTTACTTGGTAAAATGACAAAGGCTCCATTCACCGGTCACGGTGAAAGGGCGAGTGACTTATTGGGCCTCATACACTCCGATGTGTGTGGTCCAATTAGCACTGTAGCTAGAGGTGGTTATTCTTACTTCGTTACATTTACTGACGACCTTAGTAGATATGGATATGTGTATCTCATGAAACACAAATCGGAATGCTTTGACAAATTCAAAGAATTCAAGAACGAAGTAGAAAAACAATTAGGCAAAAGTATTAAGACCCTCCGCTCGGAACGGGGAGGTGAATACTTAAGCCTGGAGTTCGATGACTATCTAAAAGAGCATGGGATCTTATCCCAACTCACTCCTCCGGGGACACCTCAGTTAAATAGAGTGTCTGAGAGGAGAAATCGGACTTTGCTAGACATGGTCCGGAGCATTATTAGTCTGACAACATTGCCAGAATCATTTTGGGGATATGCATTGAAAACAGGAGCGCACACACTCAACAGAGTTCCATCTAAAGCTGTCGAGAGCACACCATACGAACTATGGCATGGGAGAAAACCGAGTTTCTCGTACTTTAAGATTTGGGGCTGTGAAGCTTATGTAAACGTCTCATGACGTCTAGTAAGTTGGAGCCTAAATCTGATAAAGTAATTTTTGTGGGATACCCCAAAGAAACTAGAGGGTATGAGTTCTATCATCCATCCGATAACAAAATTTTCGTTGCTCGGAATGGAACCTTCCTTGAGAAGGAGTTTCTTTCTGCTATCACCAGTGGGAGAAAGGTAGACCTCGAAGAAATTCGAGAACCACAAGAAGAAGTCCCGATAGTGTTGGAACATGAGCAAAGAGATCAAGCAATTGAACCTCAAATTGCTCAAGATATACCACGTAGGTCAGACGAGATACGTAATCCTCCGGTCAGATATGGATTTCTCATGTCTGATGAAGGTGACGTCTTGTTGGTAGATCAAGGTGAACCAGAGACCTACCTCGAGGCAATTACATGCCCCGAATCCGATCTATGGCTCGAAGCTATGAAATCTGAAATGGAGTCTATGTACACAAACCAAGTCTGGACCTTGGTTGATGCGCCCGAAGGGGTAAATCCCATTGGATGCAAGTGGGTCTTCAAAAAGAAGACAGACGTAGACGGGAAGGTTCATACCTTCAAAGCTCGATTGGTAGCAAAAGGTTATAGGCAAATCCATGGAATTGACTATGATGAAACCTTTTCTCCAGTTGTTATGCTGAAATCCATTCGGATAATGCTTGCAATTACAGCCTATTACGATTACAAAATTTGGCAAATGGACGTCAAGACGGCTTTTCTTAACGGGAACCTCAAAGAGAATGTTTTTATGACACAGCCTAACGGTTTTCAAATTGCTGGTCAGTCTGCCAAAGTTTGTAAACTGCAACGTTCAATCTACGGATTGAAACAAGCATCTCGGAGTTGGTACATACGTTTCAATGAAACCATTTCCAGTTTTGGTTTCGAAAGGAACTCTGACGAATCTTGTGTATATAGGAAGGTCAGTGGGAGTGTAATATTATTCCTAATCTTATATGTCGATGACATATTGTTAATGTGTAATGCCCCAAAACATAGTCTAAAAGTTATTCTATTACAAAAGTATTTTTAGAAACAATATTTTGACTCAACAAAGCATTATTTCTATGTTTGACCAAAAATGAAGGAATTTTTAGAGTCAATAATTTTTGTTAAGATTGACTTTTATGGATAGGTCTTGAAGAGACGAAACCAACGGTATATTTTATGAATACATCTGATGTACAGAAGTTCAGTTATGACATTTTAAATATGTAATTTGTATAAAAATGAGAAAAAGTCAAAGATGTGAACTTTTGTAAAATGATGTATTGAAATAAGTATTTATATTTAATAATATAGATTGAATATGAGACTAATTTTAATTACATATCAATTAATTCAATTTTGACTCTGTCAAAGTCAACACCCAAAAATATGCTGTCAGAAAAAGTATTTCAAATAAATATAAAAATTATATCATTAAATAGAGTTTGACTGTCTCATCGCAACGGTGTAAACGGATTTCAATTTGGATAAAGTTGGACCAAAAAGTGTACCCCAACTGAAGTAATTTAATCAAACTAAACTGGAAGGAATTAAATAGCAGCCGCCTCCTCCACTCACG